CTCCCCCCCGCCCCGCCTAGGCTCCTTACGTGGGCTGCCATGGGGTCCCCGACAAAACCCTGTGAATCGGTTGCGAACGCCCTCATTTCACAGACATGACCCCGGTTATCAGAGCCTCGGAGGGGTGCACAGGGAGCTGCAAGGTGGGTGGAGTTTGAGTCCTCCGACTTCCGGGCCGCCTGGGGCTCGCAGAGGGGCCACGTCTCGGCAAATAGCGTTCGTAAAGCCCCTGCCCCGTGCTCAGGGGCTGACCTGCTTGGGAGAAATTTGGGAGAATAAAATTGCTGCTTTTCACTTAAAAACCAGGGGGTGTGGGAGGTGGCGGAGGGGCTCCAGGGAATCAGTTTCATCGCCATTAGTCCCTTGAGACCCCTTGAGTCAGGGACATCCTCTAACTCCTCGGCTCGATTCAGAGCACAGGGGATCTGGGAGGACGCTTCCCTCCTCTGACCGTGAGGGTCACCACCGCTCGACCTGACGTCCAGGGACCCGGGTTCTAGTGCACATCGGCTGACTCTGCGAGTTAGGACGCCACTTGGCGTCTCTGGGACTCAGTCTCCCCTTGTGTAAAACGAAGGGGTGGGCTCTAGAGGCCACGCAGCTCTGATGCAGGATTTCAGCCCTCATTCTCACTCTTACCGCATTCGCTTCCTCGGCTGGGCTGAGAACAGCGCTGGGGCGTGTACCCGCGGGGGGCGGGGCTGCGGGTGGGGGCGGAGTTGCCATCAAAATGACAAAACTGATCAGTGTTGAGCAAGAGAGAGCCAAACCTCTGAAAATAAACGGTTGGGTGTGCTGGGCACACTTCTGCAGACCGAGGCAAAGCGTCATTTTCAGTAAGATGTCTCCCTAATTAACCAGTGCCCAGGAAACACGCGGAGCGCTGTGCGGGTGTGTCCTGACACCTGTCAGGTGACGTGCCCTCTGGATGGGGATGCGTTTATAGGCTTAGCGCCAACAGCTGTGTCACTTTCAGAAACAGGCTTGGATTTTTACGTGCCCCAGAGGAGCTCATTTTGAAAGGGTCTCTGTGGGGCACCCCACAAAGCAGTTGCCGCTGCATATGTAATTTTAAGAGACTTGTCGTATTTTAGAGCAACCTACAGTAAGTGCCCTCATTTCTACACGCTGATCCTTCAGACACCGGTGCTCCTCCCAGGTGTTCGTCCCTCTGCAGTGCGCTGACAGCATCTCAAGAGTGATTCTTTAAAACATAGTTCATTCTTGGCCCGGCCAAGTGGCATGTTGGTTAAGAGCTGGCTTGGGATGCCAGAGGGCCCCGGTTCGGATCCCACATATGAGGGCCAGTGACACTGCCCTCCACAGCTAAGATGCTGAACAACAGCTCAACCTGGAGCTGGGCTGCCGTGGGTCGCCAGCAATGGGGGTAGTCTGCAGCCCCTGTGGCAGTGGGTTGCCATGGGCTACCGTGTGTAGCCAGCAGCCAGCGTGAGCGGCCAGCAGCCGCAGTGAGCGGCCGTCCAGAAGCCAGTGACTGATCTGCCTCGCCCGGGAAGAGTGCAATGATGGTGTCAATTTGGGCCAGTGAAGCAAACAACCTCCACAACTAGACTGAAGAACAAAAGGACAGCAACTTGTCTGTTCCCCTTCCCCCAATTCCCCAGTGCTGTTCCCATCCCCCAATTCCCCAATAAAAATCTTAAAAAAACAAAACAAAAACATAGTTCATTCTTGTTCTTGTGAGGGCTGCAGGTGGGAGGACCTCATGTTGCTACGCCGAGGGTGGTCCCCCAGACTCAACAAGTCAGCGTCCTGCCCTGTGCTCCCCTCTGTCCTCCTCCCCAGCTGCCCGTTCCTGGCTCCCGCCTGTGCGTCTACGAAGATGGCACGGAACTGACTGGAGATTACTTCTGGAGCGTCCCCGACAACTCGGAGCTCGTGCTCCTCACCGAGGGCCAGACCTGGCAGGGCTGTAAGTGGTGGGGACCTTGGAGAGCGGCGGGGAAGCTGGCGGGGCTGTGGAGGTGGTCAGGGAAAGGGTCTGGTAGACATTTCTCCAAAGAAGTTATTCAAGTGGTAGCAAGCATGTGAAAAGATGCTCAATGTCAGTGAGATTCACCCCACACCACGAGGAGGATAAGTGCTGGTGAGGATGTGGAGAAACTGGAACTCATACATTGCTGGCGGGATGCAAATAGTGCAGCCACTGTGGGCAACAGTCTGGGGGTTCCTCAAACTATGAAACAGAATCACAGGCGACCCCGCAGTTCCACTCCTAGGTGTATATACATATATATACACCCAAGAGAAATTAAACACGTCTACACAAAAGCTTTACATGAATGTTATAGCAGCTTTATTCATAACGGCCCAAAAGTGGAAACAACACAAATGTCCCTTGATGAACAAATGGCTCAACAAAGTATGGTGTATTCAAAAAAGGGGATGTTATTTGATCACGAAAAGGAATGAAGTCCCCCCACACACTACAATGTAGATGACCCTTAAAAACACCATGTTAAAGTGAAAGAAGCCAGTCACAAAAGGCCACGTAGGATTCCACCCATGAAATGTCCACACCCGATAAGTCTGTAGAGACAGAAATAGATCAGTGGTGGTTCAGGGCTGAGAGAGGGGGTGGGGGAGGAGGGGACGAAGACATTCTAAAATTGGATCTGGACATGCTTGCTCAACTCTGAATGGCTGAGACCCACTGAGTTGTACGTTGCACATGGGTGAACAGTAACAAATGGAAATTAAATCTCAATACAGTTGTTAAAAAAAAAAGAAAAAGCCAAGAACCGCCACACTGTTTTCAGGAGCAGCTGCGCCCCGTCACATTTCCACAGGAATATATAAGGGTGGGGCATCCGTGCAGCCGCCTCTCGAGCTGATGGTCGAGCTGCTGTTCTCCATTTTAGCCCGTCATGCGTGTGCAGTGGTGTCTCATTGTGTCTTAATTTGCATCTCCCTAATGGCTAACGGTGCTGACGATCTTTTCATGTCATCATTTGCCATCTGGATAGAGTTATGCGCCACTTAACGAGGGTGCATTCTGAGAAACGCGTCGCTAACGCGATTTTGTCGTCATGTGAGCCTCACGGCGTGCACTTGCACAACCTGGAGGTTGCCCGCTGCGCATGCAGGCTGTGTGGCCTACCGTTGGCCACAGTGTCCCTACTCAGCGCAGGGCTGTATCCTCTTTGGTGACATGTCTCCTCATGTCTTTTGTCCTTTTTCTAATTTTCTTTTTTAATGTTTTGAGAGTTTTTTTCCTAATATATTCTGGATGAGTCTTTTGTCCGATAGGTGGTTTGTAAATATTTTCTCCTACTCTGTCGCTTGACTTTTCACTTTCTTACAAAGAGAAAGTGTCTTTCATGGAGGAAGGCCGATTTGTCCACTTTTTCCCCTTTATGCTTGTGCTTTCGGCATTAGTCTGAGAACTTTCCAGCAAGCTCTAGGTCCCTAAGGTTTCCACCTCCGTTTCTGGCATCAATTGCTATGATCCTGTGACTGTTCCTCTTTAGCCTGTTAAGGGTGGATTGCACTGATGTTCTAACGCTGAGCAGCCTCGAGGCCCTGGGCTGACCCCGCTGGGCCGTTCCCGGTTCTGTGTGTGCACTGCTGAGTTCTGTTTGTAAGATGCTGTGAAGGCCTTGGTAGGCTTCAGCTCTGCTTGATCCTAAGTGCTTGCTCAGGGGGCTCGGCGCTTTGGGGCGGGTGTGAAAAGGCTCCAGGGCATGGCAGTAAAGTGCCTTGAAGATCGGGAGAGGAAGGTTTCATGGGAGGTCCAAAGACATGGTGCTCGTTTGGAGAAGCACATCCCATGTCTTCCTCACCTGTCCTCACCTCACCCAGAGGGGCGGGTGCCGGGCGCAAGGCCCAGAGGACCAGGCTCGTTGGTGTCGGGCAGGACTGGGTTTGACAGCTCCCCGAGTGGGGAGGGGTAGGCATGTGGGAGCCCTTTCTCACGCCGGCCGCAGTTCTGTGTCTTCCTAAGGCAGTGCCCCAAGGACTGACGGCTGTTGTTTGTCCCGTTCTGGCGGCAGATGTGAGTGACATCAGCCGCTTCCTCAGCGTGTTTCACAAGCCGCACGTGGAGGTCATCCAGGCTGCCCGGCAGCTGCTCTCCGATGAGCAGGCCCCGCTGCGGCAGAAGCTGCTGGCCGACCTCCTGCATGTCATCAGCGAGAACATCGCGGCGGAGACCAGGGCCGAGGACCCGCCCTGGTTCGAAGGTGCCGTGCGGATTCGGATTCGGGGTGGAGAGCGGGTGGGGGTGGGAGGACACCCTGGGAGAGACCAGATTCTATTTCAGTTCCCAAATGAGGGCTCCCCAAACGAGGGGCTCCCCAAACAAGGGGCTTGCCTAGGTTCTCTGCTCATGGTGACTGGATGCTGGGCAGCCAAGGACTGGTGGTAAAGTATATAACATACGATTCACCATCCTAACCATTGGTCAGTGTCCAGTTCAGAGGCATTAGGTACATTCGCAATTGTGCAGCTGTCACCACCGTCATCTCCAGAACTTTCCATCTTCCCACGCTGAGACTCTGTCCCATTAAACACTCACCCCCCCCCCCCACTCCAGCCCCGGGCACCACCATCTACTCTCTGTCTCAGTGGATTTGACTCCTCCCAGGACCTCATATGAGTGGAATCATGTGACAGGCTTATCTCACCCAGTGCAACGTCCTCAGGGCCATCCATGCAATAGCAGGTGTTAGGATTTCCTTCCGTCTTCCGGCTGAATGATATTCCACTGTGTGGATGGACCACATTTTCTTTATCTGTTCATCTGTTGATGGACACCTAGAGTACTTCCACCTTTTGGACTGGCCAGTCCAAGGCAACCCTGAGAGGCTGCAGCCCTCTTAGAAAAGGGGGGCTTGAGGTGCCCCCAGGCAGACGCCCCTGGGTGGCATTTGAGATCGTCCATGCTGGTAAACCACAGAATCACCCCAAATGAGCAAGAACCAGGGATGGTGTGTGTGGCACCCTCAGGACCTTCTCAGATGAGGCATCCGACCCCTACCCCCTGCACCTCCCGGCCCAGGGCGGGCCATGGACTGACCACAGGCGACCTTGTCTTCTTCCTGGCAGGTTTGGAGTCCCGATTTCAGAACAAGTCCAGCTACCTGAGATACAGCTGCGAGAGCCGGGTCCGGGGCTACCTGAGAGAGGTAGGGCCGTGCTGCCGGCAGGTGTGCTGGGCAGGTTTGGCAGCCGGCTGTGCTGCCGAGAAGCAGAGCACCACTGCGCGGAGCTCCCGCTGCACACGTGCACCCCCAGTGACATGGTCAGCACGTGACTTCCAGCCCCGCAGAGCGAGGTGCTGGGGCCTGTCCCGCTGCCGCCCTCTGACTGGGCTTGCTGGTGCCCGAGCCAGCGCAGCCTCCGTCCCCTTCCATTTGCATGTGATTCTCCCCACGGGTTTTGAGTGGAACTGGTTTAATATCTTCATCTGTCAGGCAGTTCGATTTGGACGTGATCCATCCCAGTAAAGATCTGTCCTTGGCCCAGCGTTAGTTGACAGACGCATAACTGGGTCCCGGGGGACTGGCGCTTCACCACCAGGGTGGGGTCTGTGCGGCCCCACTTTCACAGGACAGACAGACGAGGGAGGCTTTGGGGCAGCTTCAGGAAGGGATCGCCGGGCTCTGCGCACCAGAAAGATAAAAATGTACACATGTCAGTCCCTTGGGGTGCTGCCCAGTCCCCGGTCCCCTGAGCAGAGGCCTGAGGTGTCTGTTCTCATGGCGCCGTACCCCCTGTATCCAGTGAGCTGACGTCATTCAGGAGGCCGTCATTCAGGAGGCCGTCTGTTCCCTAATTGTAGACAAGCCTCCCACCCCCACGCCTTGACTGTCCGCACCAGCCATGTGTCTGGGGCGAGATTTGAACGTGTGTGGTGGAAAGCGGCCCCCAGCTGCGTGCTCCACGGAGGTCCTGTCACACAGGAGAGCTCAGGCTGGCCTGGCCCAGCCCTCCCACCCCCTCGCCCCCCATCTCTGCCCGCCGTGCACCCCCGCCCCTACTCCCCTGCCTCCCTCAGGCTGCTCCTGCTGCCCAGAACGCATGTCCTGCGCGGGCCACCCCGCGGCCCTTCCCCAGTGCGCTGTAGGGGAGGTGGCACGAGGTGGTGATTGTTCCTGCTGCTTCCTCTGTTTTTTCCTGTGCAGCAGCGGCCAGCGCCGGGGAGACGGGGGCGGGATGCTGGCGCTTGAGTACGCTATGTGCCTGACTGTGACCGAAGCTCCGCGTCATGGGCCCAGAGAATCTCCCAGGGCTGGGCAGCCATGGCCTGTGTGAACTCAGAGTCCCTGGCCGCAGGGCAGCACTGGACCCCGGGATCCCTGAGGGCCGTGGCCTTGGATGCATCGGGAGCCCGACTGCAAGCTCAGGGCATCACGCACCAGGGTCCAACAATGTCCTCGGTGTCCTCCAGGTGAGCTCTCACGCCTCCGTGGTGGACGTGGACACCCAGGAGGAGTACGTGCGCATCGTGGATGCCATGGGCCAGAAGCTCAAGGCTGCTCAGTACAACGGCAGCTACTTCGACAGGGGCGCGGAGGCGGGCGGTCGGCTCTGCACCCCGGAAGGCTGGTTCTCCTGCCAGGTGAGCTGTGCCCTCCACCCTGGGGCCACCTGAGCCTGCCCTCTGCCCTTGGCCTGCTGGGCAAGGCCTGGTGAGAAGGGGCAGCTCCGGCGTCAGCTCCCATGTGTAGTGCGGGGAGGACAGTCAGCCAGTGGTGCTGAGTCCCTCGAGGGCTGTTGAAAGGCTGCTGGGCCCATGCAGAGCTTCTGTCCAGCTGTGGGGACGGGCCTGAAACCTGCATTTCTGTCGTTCCCAGATGACACACCTGCTGCTAGTCGGGGACCTCACCACTGATGTGGGTGGGGAAGACAGTTGTCCCCAGAGCAGACATCTCACTCACCTTGGCCTAAGAGGAGGGTGGCGTTGCATTGGGTGGATCTAATAGGACCAGTTCAGGAGCCTCTGAACAGCGTTTTGTCCCCCTGGGTAAGCTTTCTAGATGGCAGAAAGCTCAGGGATTGCAGGGTGTGGGCCGGACGTGACATCCTGACACTGCTGAAGCTTGACTCTGGTGGGTGCCATCGGCTGGAAGCAGCATTCTGAGCCTCACAGGCACACACCACAGACTCCTGGACAGCTGAGTGACTCCCAGGAGCACCGTGTCCCACAGGTGCCAGCACCTCTGGGACCCGGGACCACGAGTCTGGGGCTCAGAGCCGGTGACCTTTGTGAGGACGGGCCAAGGCTGTCCCAGCCCTCACTCCTTCCCAGCCTCCGCCTCGGTGATGTGTCCGCTGTGGTCCAGCCTTGAGTGCCGATGGCACTGGGGCTTCGGTGCGTCCCCAGCCCTGCTGAGCCATGGAGAGCCACTGAAGAGGCACCTCCTTTTTTTTAGATTTTTTAAATTTGGGAATTGGGGGAGGGGAACAGCCAAGTTGTTGTCCTTCAATCTTAGCTGTGGAGGGCGCAGCTAGCTCAGCTCCAAGTCCAGTTGCGCTGCTCAGCTTAAGGTGCTGTGTTCGATCTTAGTTGCGGGTGCACGTAGCCACCATCCCATGCAGGAGTCAAACCAGCAGCCTCGTTGTTAAGAGTGCATGCTCTATCCACTGAGCCATCCGGGCGGCAGCTCAGCTCAAGGTGCCGAGTTCAGTCTTAGTTGTGGGCGGGCATAGCCCACCATCAAACAGGCAATCTTGTTGTTAAGGAGCATGTGCTCTCACCAGCGGAGCCATCCGGCCACATGTCGGCAGCTCAGATCAGGCACAGCTCACTGGCCCATGTGGGAATTGAACCGGCGACCCTGTTGCTCAGAGCTCGCACTATTGAGCAAGCTCTTAACCAACTGAGCAGCTGGCCCTGAAGTGGCAGCTCTTTTTTTTTTTTTTTAAAGATTTTTATTGGGGAATTGGGGTGATGGGAACAGTGCTGGGGAATTGGGGGAAGGGGAACATACAAGTTGCTGTCGTTTTGTTCTTCAGTCTAGTTGTGGAGGACATTTCTTCACCGGCCCAAGTTGGCACCATCATTGCGCTCTTCCCAGGCGAGGCACATCAGTCGCCGGCTTCTGGACGGCCCCTCACTGCGGCTGCTGGCCGCTCACGCTGGCTGCTGGCTACACACGGTAGCCCATGGCAACCCACTGC